ATATATATATTATATATATATACACACACACACATACATATACATATATGTGTATCCATATGTATACAAAAATATATGCATATAGTATATGCATATTATGTATATGTATATATATACATTTGTGTGTATTTATATACATATATACAATTCTTCCCAAGACCCTTTTTACTCTTATTGCTCTAGTATTTAACACTAACTGATGCTATTCCTTTTTAAGACTCAACTCCAGGTTTGAGCCATGCCTGAGAAAGTGGCCTAACCTCATCACCGTGAACACCATGGGGAGTCACTGGGATCCAGTTCGGATGGAGATCTCTGTCCTCCAGCTTTTCAGGACTCAAGCACCGCTGCTATGAAAAAAGGGAAGCTTAATTTCTAATGCTTTCTCCCTTTTCTGCGAAGGGCGCCGCACCTGCTCCAGCATTCTAGGGAGAAATCACAGTTTTCTCCGCCCCCTGACAAGCGCCATACTCCAGGTGGGTCTAGATGTCTCCCTTCCCAGCCGGGGCGGAGAGCCAAAGGCACCTCTCCCAGGCTGGGTGGGCGCGCCAGGGACTGGCCCCCGCCCTCCGGGCCTGGGGAGTGCGGGCGGGGCAGGTGACCCGCAGCGAGGAGGGCGGCCCGCGGAGTCAGTTACCTGGCGGGGCGCGGGGCGGGGCGGACGGCGGGGGCGGGGCCGGGGTGCGATCCCAGGCTACGATTGGGCCGTCCCGCGCCTGTCTCCATGTGCCGCGCGGCGGAGGCACAACATTCAAGTCCGGGGGCGGGGCCGGCGCGCGCCGGGAGGAAACGGCAGCGCGGCAGCTGCGGGGCGTGGGGGCGGTGGCGGCGGCGGCCAAGGCCGAGACCGAGGCGGCGGAGACTGAGGCGAAGGCGGCGGTTGCCTAGCCGGTGACGGTGCTCCCCCGGACCCCCTTCCAGGCCCCATGGAGGCGGCGGCGGGCGGGGGCTGCGGCTCTGGGCCGCCTCTGCTGCTGAGCGAGGGCGAGCAGCAGTGCTACTCCGAGCTCTTCGCGCGTTGCGCCGCCGCCGGCGCCGCAGGCGGGGGCCCCGGGTCCGGGCCCCCTGAGGCCGCCAGAGCCGTCCCCAGCGCGGCCACCGCAGCCGCGGGCCCTGTGGCCGACCTGTTCCGGGCGTCACAGCTGCCCGCCGAGACGTTGCACCAGGTAAGTCCCCGCTCCTCTTGCCACTGACGGTCTGTGGGGACCGTTTCTGTGGGGACAAGGGGGCGGGGTGGGGCGATGGGGCTGCCCAGGGACCTGGACGCCTCGGCCAGGTCGAAGTCGGGGATGGTGGCGACGCCCTTGTCCCCCAGGGAACACACCAGCCTCCTCCTCAGCTCAGGAGTGCTGGGTGCGCTCCCCGTCTTCTTCTCCTGAGACAGACTGACACTCCTTCCCCTCCCCCGGCCATTGCTGGGGCTCTGCAGCCGCCCAGACCCAAAGTTTGCCTTGTTCTGGAAGTGGTGTTTGTTTTGGCTGGTGTTTGGTTTAACCTCTGCTCGCTGTTCCTGCTTTTCCCTCTGCTGGGTGAGTGGAAAGGGGTAGGCGCCCGGGGTGCCTTGCTGGGATTTGAACTTGAAGTGTGTGTGTGTGTGTGTGTGTGTGTGTGTGTGTGTGTGTATGTATGTATGTATGTATGTAGAGCAGGGGGCCCAGAACTGAATGTTGTTCGCCCTCTATACATGTAAACGTATACCCATCTATATGTATTTGCTTACTAACGTATTTCTGAATTTTGGTATTAAACTGGAAAGCCTTAATAAGTTGCAGAGCAGGGACAAAGGGCTGCAAGAGGACGTTTGTCAAGGCAAAGCCAAGCTTACTGTTTAGGGCTAGAGATGGACCCCAGATGTCCACCATGGGGGACAGCTGTAGTTTCCCATCTTACTACTTGGACTTGAAATAGAACTGGAAAGTAATGTGTATCATAGCTACCTCCTTTTGACTGCTCTATACCTGGAAAAGGAGGAGGGGATAGTCCACAGCAGATGCTTTATTTTGTGCTTTGCTTGGAGAAGGACTACTTGGTAAGCATTACCTTTTGATGTCACCAGGTTTTCACAGTAAGATTCTTAATATCAAGTCTCAAACGTGAATTGAAGCTTTTTAAAATTATTTTTTTAAAGTTTATGGGGCGCCTGGGTGGCGCAGTCGGTTGGGCGTCCGACTTCAGCCAGGTCACGATCTCGTGGTCAGTGAGTTCGAGCCCCGCGTCAGGCTCTGGGCTGATGGCTCAGAGCCTGGAGCCTGTTTCCGATTCTGTGTCTCCCTCTCTCTCTGCCCCTCCCCCATTCATGCTCTGTCTCTCTCTGTCCCAAAAAATAAATAAACGTTGAAAAAAAAAATTTAAAAAAAAAATAAAGTTTTTAATTCCAGTAGTTAACATACAGCGTTAAATTAGTTTCATGTGTACAATATAGTAATTCAACACTTCCATACATCACCCTGTGCTCATCAGGACAAGTGCACTCCTTAATCCCCATCACCTATTTCACCCCATCCCCCAACCCCCTCCCCTCTGTTTTCTATAATTTAGAGTCTGTTTCTTGATTTCTCTCTCCTTTTCCCCTTTGCTCATTTGTTTTGTTTCTTAAATTCCACATATGAGTGAAATCATATGGCATTTTTCTTTCACTTATTTCACTTAGCATTATACTCTCAAATGGAAAGATTTCATTCCTTTTTATGACAGTACGTTATATCTGTATCTCACATCTTCTTTATCCATTCATCAATTGAGGGACACTTGGGCTGCTTCCGTATCTTGGCTGTTGTAAAGAATGCTGCTATAAACATTACGGTGCATGGAAACGAAGCTTTTCTTAAAAGCAGTAGTTAGTATGAAAGTTAACATTGATTGAATATTTAGAGTGGGGAGTGGTATTTTAGAATCTAGTTCCACAGGATTAGTGAGGGTTTTATGGGTCACTTGCAATATCACTGTGTTTGTAAGGTTTGTTTTGTGCTTTATACTACTGGAGCATACATATGCCTATATGTTTGTGAGCATAACTTTAGCCATTCTGTAATCTTTGACCTTTTAGAGGGGATTTCTGAAAATGTAATTAGTATTCATAGAACTTAGCATGGCTGTTTATGCCTTAAAGAAGTTCTTGATTAGGGGCACCTGGGTGGTTCAGTTGGTTAAGTATTGGACCCTTGGTTTCGGCTCAGGTCATGATCTTACTGTGAGTTCGAGCCTCGTGTCAGGCTCCGGACTGACAGCATGGAGTCTGCTTTGGATTCTCTCTCTCCCTCTCTCTGTCTCAAAAAAACAAACCAAAAAACCTTAAAAAAAAGTCATTGATATGCAGAAAGTTTTGCAGTTACCATTCCATGGTTGAGCTGAACTAGGTAGACAAAAAGTGTATTAAAACACAAACCATGGCCATTACCTGTGGCCCTCAGAATATTCCCAAGCATATAAATATATTAAATGCTGTTACAGCTTCTTAACTGAAAAAGGAATAAGTGATTGAGTCCATACAGCAAATAAATGACAGCTGGGCATCTGTTAAGGCTTATTTTGTAGTCAGTAATACATGGAATGTGGTAAAAGAAGGTGGGCATGTTAAATGTGAATGCGTTGGTTTACCGCTCCTAAGGAATTGGGGAGGGGGCTTTCCTGGTGTTAGAATCCATGTTCCCTTGAGGTATATATGATTTAGAAAGAACCCAAGGCACAGTGCATTTGCATGAACGAGGTTATATTCTTTTTTAAAAAAAAATTTTTAATGTTTATTCTTGAGAGAGAGATCTAATGAATGCCAAACGGGCGAGGGACAGAGAGAGAGGGAGGGAGGCGCAGAATCCCAAGCAGTCTCCAGGCTCTGAAGTGTCAGCACAGAGCCCGATGCGGGGCTTGAACCCACGAACCGTGAGATCATGACCTGAGCTGAAGTCAGATATTTATCTGACTGAGCCACCCAGGCGCCCCATGAGGTTATATTCTTGATGTCTTCTGCTTGCAGAAGACTGTTTCAGATATTGGCAAAGGGGGAGAGGCCTAGAAGTTTTCTTGCAGTAAATTTCTCAGAGCTTTAAGCTCTCTTATTCAGCTCAGCAAAACAAAATACATCTTCCCCATTAACCTAACAATTGCAATTATCCAGTATTCTTCATACAGGTGAAAATTAACATCAAAGGCATCCTGGACAGGGAAATGTAATCAGAGAGATTCAAACAAAGCTAGCAGCCAGTAGCCACCTAATTTTTACCAACCATTTTGGTGGGGTGGGGTGTGGTGTGGCATGGCATGTCATATCTTGATGTGTGTGTGTGCGCGCGTGTGTGCTCCATTTAACTCAATTTGCATTTCCCCATGAGTGTATTAGCCATTCTTTAAAACAAATGTGGACGTTTTTAGCCTTTCCCTTAAACAGGAACTTGTAAGTTCAGAATTAAGTGGACCAACAGGTATAACTGCTCAAATCATGGCGCTACCATCCCTGGTAGTTTCTATGGTAACAGCCAGATTATTATTTTTTTAATAAGCATACAATTAAGATTACCATAATGAGGGGCGCCTGGGTGGCTCAGTTGGATAAGTGGTTAAGCATCTGACTCTTGATTTCATCTCAGGTCATGATCTCATGGGTTCCTGAGTTCAAGCCCCATGTCAGTTTCTGCACTGGTGGCTCGAAGCCTGCTTGGGATTCTGTCTCTCCCTCTCTGTGCCCCTCCCTGCCTAGTGTTTTTTTTTTCTTCCTTCTTTCTCTCAAAATAAATAAATTTAAAAAAATTGCCATAATGTTTCAGGCAGGGCGTAAGTCTTACCCGGAGTGTTTTTCAGAAATACTTAATTTTTTACTGGGCGCCTGGGTGGCTTAGTCGGTTAATTGTCCAACTTCAGCTCAGGTCACGATCTCACAGTTCATGAGTTTGAGCCCCACGTTGGGCTCTGTGCTGATAGCTCAGAGCCTGGAGCCTGTTTCCTATTCTGCATCTCCCCCTCTCTTTGCCCCTCCCCTGCTCACACTCTGTCTCTCTCTGTGTCTCAAAAATAAGTGTTAAATTTTTTTTTAAATACTTAATTTTGTAAAGTAAAAATAAACTATACCTGTTACTTGTCATGGAAGTGAGTTATCTTAGGGATTTTTTTTCTGTTGAAATATATATATATATATATATATATATATA